AGGAATGAACAGAACTCAAACATCAGCCTTGCCGGTTCCCTGTTCCTCTGAGTAATCAGCTTCAGACAACTAAGTGAATGATAACACAGTGGCTACAGAAAGGAGGCAACTGCAGGCATAAATAAGAACTTCACAGCAGTATGCTTTTGAAGAGCCATAAAAACCTCTCAGTAGTACTTTTTAAACATTCCCCCCCCTGCCAGATGACAGCACATATCACAGTAGGTGCCCTTATTTCAGGAAACATCTCCTCACATTTTATGACATTCATATGAACCAATACGTTAGCTGGCAAAATCCAAGAGAAACAGGTTTGTATTTCTACAAATGGAGAGAAGAGTCCTAAGAAGCAACCTCTCTCCTTCCTGTCACGGCCCTGATAAGCTTTAACAGTCCTGACTGGATTCCTCTACCCACACAGCTGCTGCTTATTGCCCCAGGAGCTCTATTTAAGCTCAGGCCTGGGGATCCAGACCCATGTTGTGAGCGTGCTTGTGCTCAGACCTGTCTCTGATCATCTCACGCATGGACTTTGGACCTGTGTTGTGGACTTTTTTCTCCAGTCCTGTCTGTGGCCCCCCACCTCCTACTGCTCCTGACTGTGCCCCCTGGACAGAAGCTGAACCTGACTCATCACCTTGCCCTGTTTGAGGCTGTCAGTGAACCCTGTTATCAGCACCTTACTCTGCCCACCCTGTTCAGATACTCTAGGATTTGGTCTGGTTGCTGAGTGCCCTGTCAGCCCAGCTGTGCTGGAGTCATCCCAGCTCCTGGCTTATCCTATCCTTGCAAAACAGCCCCACTTTTGCTGTCCCCAGTACCCTTGGCATGCTACATCCTCAGTCAAAATGATACAGAAAAATCCCTCCATAATCCATCCAATAAAGTATTCCTGCCACTGTCACAAGTCCTTCCCATGTGTCTGCCACGTAAGCTAATAACAGTCTCTAGTGACTTTCACCTAGTGACCCGTATTCGATTTTTATGATATGGTACTCAAGCACAGACAGAAGTGACATTCAAAGATGCTCACCAGGGCAGTCAAGATCTGTAAAGAGTAACCATGTGGGAGTAAGAAATTGAGATCTGAACCTTACAATCCACTCCCATTTGGGGGGATCCAGTGTTCATGTGGACATTATTGCAAGCCTGGGAGCCTAAAATCCATATATGTGAGTTATTCGACAACAGCAAAGTAGAAGAGGGAAGTTTTATAGCAAATAAAGTATTTAAAACTAGAAGTAATGGGAGGAAACTCAGGAGCGCGTGTGAGGGAACCAGAGTACATCAAGATGTACTTCCACCACCTAACTATTAAAAAGCCCTAAATTCAGCACACGAGTTGGATATTAGTCTTCTGTAGTCAGTAAAGAAAATATGTATAAGTCTAAAAAGCAAAAAATATAAAAATCCACACCCCATAGAGATCCTGAATTGATCCCTCCGAAAAGAAAATAAATAAAGTTCTTCTCTGCAGTTCTTATTGTTCTTTAGACTGCTAGAAAAAAAAGACAAGACCAGAGCTCAACAAACAACCACAACACTGCTCAGTGACAGGAACCTCTAAATCAGTTAGTGCACTTTCATCTATTATTAAAGCAGTCCCATCCACTCTGAGAGTAGACTTGTGTTTTGGTCATCTGAATGCTGCTAACAAACTAAATATCATTTAAGCTGCAATCACATTCCAGCTAGCTTTGTCTTCCATTTGGGGGCTGAACCAGGTGCACTCACACCTTCATATTAACTCTCCTCAGTCTGAGAAGTGCTGGCACATGTGCTCCAGTTTATACTCGTAACTAAATGAGATCTCCCAGGTGAAAGCATTTGCAGCAACAGGCCCTTTGATGCTATAGGAAACCTTGAAGCCAAGATAGGGCAGATGGGAAAATGCACCATAGGAGAATGGTGCTATAGCAATCCAGCAAAAAGATATTGAGCTAATAACTAGTAAGATGATGAAGGATGTTCCATCTTGGTGGAACAAAGCACAATTAAATAAGCCATATTTATTAAGGAAGCATTATCTTTTTTATTTGTAGAAGAAAAAAATATATATATCAGCTGTGTTTAGAGCCAGCTGCATTTTCAGTGATTAGAAAAGTTGCATATGGAAAATGTAAAAGAAGAGGACCCGATTTCTGGAACCACGGTGACTTAAGAAAGTTATGGCGCAGTTCTCTATCAACTGCATGGGAGAAAAGCTTGGTTCACTCCTGCTCGACATGCACACAAAGCTGGCTCTCAATGTTACTAGAGCACATGACAGCATCCGTGGTAGTTTGAGAGCACGAGTTGCCCAGTATCACTGCATTAGGAGCCTTGTTTCTTCTAAGAATTATCAGTATTAAAAGGAAGCAGGATTAAAGCATCTCAAAGTCAAGAAGTGCCATTCACTTCTTGCAACTGCTAGTTTAGAGAATTAGAAGGGAAGCAACCAGAGCCAGAGAACAGAGAAAAAAAAGTTATCCTTCTAACTTCCTACTAGCCCAGGAGGAAACATAATGAAGTTCACTTCATTCAGTGCGATCTGTTGTTACACCATTTAGTTTTGTAACAGCTGGATTTAAAATGCTTCTTACTACCAATGTTTAAGACCACTACCCACGGGGACTTAACAAGCACAGCCCTTCAGGCCACCTCACATCTCCCAGATATACTTTTAGACCCTATTTCAAACCGGGAGAGCAAGGATTTTTGCCAGTTGGATTTCAGCTCTCTCACCCTCCAAGCCCGCCTCACACCCCAACATGGGTGGGCGGGAGAGAAGGAAACTGCCCCGGCCCGCAGAAGATGGCGCCCAATAGACGGCGCCACGGGGAGA